GGGGGGTGCTTCCTCACTTCTAAAAGACTTCACTTTTTTTACAAAAGCTTTTGGATCTTAATTAAGGCAGATAAAAGTCCAAACAAAGTTCAGAGTCACAAGAGCAGCTTGTTAATAAAGTATGTATTTCAAGCCAGTAACGACCTTGCTCTTTACTTGATTCTGATTCATCAAATAAATTCATCATTTGGCACAAAATATTGATTAAAATTGATTTGATTGATTATAACGTATATTTTTATTATTATAATAAACCTGTTTATTTCACTGTTTATGGATTATTAAAGAGTCAAAAGGAACCTTGTTATGTTTTGTAATAATGATAGTGCAATACTAGAAGAGCGATTATTTTGGAATATAAAAATAAAGACATTAATTCCTATTGGCAAAATTACGTCTTAGCCTCTCAAATATTGGGATGTCATGCTTTTCTCTGTTTTATGCAAACATTAAAACTAAATATCTGCAGCATAACCTATGATGAAAATGTGGCCCTAGCTTTCAGCAGTATAAAGAGTTAAACTAGGAAATGTTCCGTCTCTGTGTTCCTCCACCTCATGCAGCTGTCATTTGCATGTATTTAAATCACGCAGAGACAATTTACCTTTGACAGTGAGCACTCCACTCCAACTCGTCTCTCCACTGGAGCTGGAAGCCAGGCAGGTGTACACCCCAGAGTCCGTTTCCTGGCAACAGTAAAACGTGTATCATTAGTTTAGAGTGTGTGTGTGTGTGTGTGTGTGTGTGTGTGTGCGTGCGTGCGTGCGTGCGTGCGTGTGTGAGCCCTTGATACTATGTTAATGTGCCCATTAGCAGTGATTGAGACTGAATGTCATATCTCTCAGAGCAGAATGTTTGTACTGTGAGGGAAGTTGGCAGAGCAGAGAGCGGTTATTCATCTGAAGCCACCAGTTGACTTCTCACACTTTCACATCAAAGTCAAATTGGCTCTTTAGTATCAGTTTAGAGCAGATCGTAGCTCTGATTTATGCCAATATATGTAGAAATGCATCTATAAAATAACAGTAGTCACCTTTAGTCTTTCTGAATGTTTTATTATGATACAAAGTAAAAGTAAGTCAGAAAGATGCATGGTTTGATGAGGTGTTACAAGAAACTTCTCAACCTTGCAGTTATGGAAATCACAGATTGAATCCCTGTGTGTTGCTTACAGTACGGACAGCATTACTAATGTATGGACAATTATACTATCTTATTTCTGCCAATATTTCTAAATAAAATGCAGCATTCAGCCAATAAATTGGATATGTTTATCTGAATCTGTTCATGGTTAATTTGTGGTAGTAAAAACAGCTTCTCTCAGGAATCCAACAGTTCATTGCACATGAATATTCACACTCATTAAGCATACCTTATCATCTGTTTGAATTAACAGCTTTTACATTGGACATTTTGTCAATTGCAGTTATTTCATTTTTTATCATGAATAATAAACTCTCAACGGACCAATTTGAAGTGAAAGCTAAAGTCAAGCTGGTGGCTTTTATGTTCCTCGTCTAATTCCTACACGGCACAGGAGGAGAGTTGAAGGAAGGATCAAAGGACAGCATTTTAATGAGCGGCTCGAGGTCTAGGGGCGTCTGAGGCGCCACTCTTTCTGCTGCGCGGCTACTTAGCATTCTGGACAGGCTATGAGCAGATGTAATTAAGAGGTGTGTGATGGATGTGCCTGTGTGTGTGCACATGTGAATGCTGGCTATCAAATGTTTGGGGAGGCAAGCCAAAAGCTAGACGGGCTGTGAAATTGCCTACAACAGAGGGAGCTGTTGGGGGTCTCTACACGGGGGAATGTGACACTGAGGGGGGAACAACTTTGCTTCACTGACGCATTTCTCTATTTCCTGTCCTTATTTCCTTACTTACTCTTTTGTTCTTTCTTACTTTTCTTTCATTGTTAATTTAAGATGTGGAATGGTCCGTACATTTCAAAGGGCATTAGAAGACAAAGGCCACCAGGAGATTGTCAAGTGATTTGCAGTCTAATTACTACAGGTGTGAAAACAAACTGTAGCACTAAAGAAATGACTCAATGCATGCTTAGTATGGGTTGTCCGCTTTTTTCTTGGGATGGGAATGTTTTTATTGAGCGGGTTCAAAAACACTACAACACCATGCGAGCAAAGTGGGTGCAGATGCTACCAGGGACATGCTAATGTTAATACCTGGTGAACATCGCAACAACAAATACAATCAAATGATAAAAACAGCTGTGCAATGGTTTTGTGTCTTGATAAACCTTCATCTGTTACTGTATTACTATTCGCCATCACCAAAGCATTTATGTCAACACAGCGCTGATTTCAGTCTGTTGCCAAGAGTAGCGGCAAACAAACGTAGCAATGCACCAGCAAGATAAATCAATAGAACATGTTGGGTTGGTTTCAGAGATACAATGGGTTGGCTGAGAAATCTTATGTGCAGTGTTCAGTGTCTCCTGCCTGCAGCACCTCTTTTCACCCTCTGTCTGAAACCAGAGCCCAGTCTGCTCTGATTGGTTAGCTGGCCGGCTCTGCAGAGTACCAAGGGCAGCCATGCATGCCAACTACTGATTGCCCTTATGCACCAAAACAGATAGCAGTGAAGAAGAAAAACACGGCAGGAGGTTTCCAACATTCACATATTAAGGCTTTATGAGATTTGGAATGCATTCAGATGTACTTAGGTATTCATTCACTGCGACTGGGTGTGAAACAGAAGCATATTTGTTTACAATATAAACTGTAAAAAGATTGTAAAACTAGTTGAATGATAAATCGAGCTCCATTTCCAGTACATTGTGAAGGCAAAGAGACAGACAGTATTTAATGTTAACTGCACCTGCGAGGACAGCTGGCTCTCTAGATAGTTCTTCTGTGACACTGTGTGTGTGTGTGTGCGTGCGTGCGTGCGTGCGTGCGTGCGTGCGTGCGTGCGTGCGTGCGTGCGTGTGTGTGTGCGTGCGTGCGTGCGTGTGTGGCAGTATAGGTGTGTGTGGGAGTGTTATGTAGAATCTCAATTAGTTTTTCATCTGTTCTGCTGCAAAGCTTCAGCTCTCTGTAGAGTATTCATTCACATGCAGACCGATCCACCCAAAACACAATCAGCCTTCCCTTATTCACTTATTCTGCCAACACTGCCCATTTGACTCCCAGTCACCTGATACATTATGCAGAGGATGTGCGATCCTGACCAATGCCTCGCTGAGCGAGTTCACGTGCGCGTCTGGGCCCTCATCAGTAACGCTGACAGAGGAATTACTCAGGCCTAAGTGGCTTGTCAGAGCGTCCTGCAGGCGGGGACAGGTGACTCTCTCCGGCCCCTCCTCTCATTCTATAGGCTCTGACCTTTGGTTGACCTGTGGGGGCCGGCTGATGCTTCGTTTGTCTGAGGGGGTAAAAAGCGGGTCCCCAGATGGTGGCGTTTGATCGGTAGATGGGGAATCAGCTCAGAGGGCGGGTGGGGTAAACAGCCGGGACACCTGACTATTAATCAAGGCCGGCACACCATGGAGAAGGGAGGGAGAGAGGAGAGCAGGAGGGAGGGAGAGAGGAGAGCAGGAGGGAGGGAGAGAGGGGAGCAGGAGGGAGGGAGAGAGCAGGAGAGAGGAGAGCAGGAGGGAGGGAGAGAGCAGGAGAGGAGAGCAGGAGGGAGGGAGAGAGCAGGAGGGAGGGAGAGAGCAGGAGGGAGGGAGAGAGGGGAGCAGGGGAGAGGGTTCCACATTCAAATGGAATATGAGCTATTCATCATAGATTGATTATATCTCATCTGGGACAGCACTCACACGTCCTGTGCCAGTCAGGCAGCTGAGCTTTGGAGTCCATGTCCACCACCTGCTAAGTACAGGACGTCAGCCTTCTGCACGAAGGCGCACAGAAGGTGGATAATGATGTCAGGTCTGTGTTTAGGAGGATGCAGAAGGAAATGTGATTACAGACTATAACGCGTGTACAATGGGATTTAAAGTCAACACATGAACTCCATTTCCTACTCCAACCTGATTAGCACCATGATTCTTTTGTCCACATAGTCCTCCTCACACTGCTCAGGCTGTGTTTGGGGGTCCTCTGTGTGCCCCTGCCCCCCCAAGAGTTCATTGTTGTACTTGCCATACCCCCACACTCTAGACCCACATGAAGAAGTTAGCAGAACGGCAGCACAAACATCACACACTTCCCGTCTGTCCAGGGCGTCTTGGCAGTGAGGGATGCAGTGTGTGTGTGTGTGTGTGTGTGTGTGTGTGTGTGTGTGTGTGTGTGTGTGTGTGTGTGTGTGTGTGTGTGTGTGTGGCAGAGATCCCAGGGTAATGGCATCTCTTCGGTGCCAGGGTACAAGGAACAAACACACCATCTGTCCCCCTCCAGACGCCCTGATGAAATCTACTTATTTATATTGATTATATCAGGGGGTTAAATGTGTTTTATGAATGCTGTTTTCCTAAGACTGTGCTCAAAATGAGTGTTTGTGTTCCACACTCGTTTTCGCATGAATTTGTTCAGAGCAGAGCTAACATTATGGCTGTTAGGGGATTTAAATGTGTCTAAATCAAACATATTGGTAAATTAATGAAAGGTATTTTACGTTGCGAAAAGCCTGCATCCACTATAATAAGGTGATGACGGTCATATTACAAAACATGAAGTCCTGCTTTTTAAGGACGTTTCCAGTGTATTACTTTTTGTATTTTGTATTTCTGGCATCAGTTGTACACAAGTTAAGAGCTCGCATCTCAAACCGTGGAGAGCACAAGCTCCTCGATGTTTAGACCGTCCGCCTTTGTTTTTCTCTCTCGCAGATTTATTCTTATCGATGTCGCCACGTTGGAAGATCTCAGCAGTTAACTCATTGTGTAGAATATTAAAGAGGCTTATTATGCTTTCGTGGGTTCTCCCCCTCCTGTAGTGTTCTATAGGCTTTTGTAAATGGACTGCAAAGGCTAAAATCCCTGAGTTCCCTCCAGAGGGAGTTTCTGTTTCATGCTTACACGCCAAGTTATACTCACTACAGCTCATGGTAGATGCAGAGAGATGGTGTAGCTGTGGGACTCCGTTCCTTTTTAAAGGGTGTAACCTCTAACCGCCGACAAGCCAGAAAGTGAATGGCACAGAACAACATCTCAAATAAATTCTTCATGTTGTGATCTAATCTCTGAAATCCAAAGCCATAAATACTAATGTTGTTACGTGTGCTGTAAAACAATAAGATCAAACACTGAGGTTCACTGTGAAGCATCTGATCAAACAGAGCCAAAGTCTGCAGAGACCTTCAGGAGAAAGTTGGACAACTTAAAATGAGTTCCAAAGCAAACACTTCCAAGATGGAGCATTTACTGTCAGCGCACTCCCTTTTATTCCTACATGACATGAATGCAGCATAAAGAGTTCTCCAGGCGTCTGTCTCCCCCGTCCTCCCCTCTCTCTCTCAGCCTCCCGCTCCTGCCTCTCCCTCATTCAGTCAGTCCTCACTACCACTGATGTATCGAGGATTTAATTACAACTCTCAGCGATCGTTAATCATTAAGAACCCACAATCAATGAATGTGTGCGCCTCCTCTCGTCTGGCAGAGGCAGCAGTGACCTCAGGTGCTGTTTCATACCCAGGAGGGAATTCTGTGCAGAATGGATTTCATTAGCATGGAGTAAGACGATGCTAACGACTGCTAATGGCCTCGCGCTCTCATTATCATGGTGATCACGCCTCGCAGATGTGTTTTCGCTACATTCTCCTCCTCTCATAAAAAGTCATCATCTGAGCCAACGGTAAAAATGTCCTCCATTTAAGTGCTCCGTACTTTCCATGTAATTAAAACGTGTCTTTTATCACGTATCATGTTGATCTTGCAGGAACTGCATCATGTTTAATATGCAAATACTAAGAGATGAAAATCAAGAATTCATTTGAATGAGTAATGGTGATGTGATGGAATGACACGTGATAAATATACACTGAATGAAAATGAGTTGAAGGTCACCACGTGTGTGTGTGTGTGTGTGTGTGTGTGTGTGTGTGTGTGTGTGTGTGTGTGTGTGTGTGTGTGTGTGTGAGAGAGAGAGTGTGTGTGTGTGTGTGTGTGTGTGTGTGTGTGTGTGTGTGTGTGTGTGTGTGTGTGTGTGTGTGTGTGTGTGTGTGTGTGTGTGTGTGTGTGTGTGTGTGTGTGTGTGTGTGTGTGTGTGTGTGTGTGTGTGTGTGTGTGTGTGTGTGTGTGTGTGTGTGTGTGTGTGTGTGTGTGTGTGTGTGTGAGTGAGTGAGAGAGAGAGAGAGAGAGAGTGTGTGTGTGTGTGTGTGTGTGTGTGTGTGTGTGTGTGTGTGTGTGTGTGTGTGTGTGTGTGTACATGATGAGTGTGTGTGTGTGTGTGTGTGTGTGTGTGTGTGTGTGTGTGTGACAGAAATGACAAAATTACAATGTTGTCAGTTTTTCATTAGTCTGGGGTTACATTCATAAGTACATGTATGATTTGAATGGTTGTAGTTTCTGTTCATGTACCTGCAGGTTTGTGATTTGGAAGGTGCCGTTCTCCATCAGGCTGATGCGCCCGTCGTTACCCAGGATCCTCTGGCCGTCTTTCTCCCATTGGATGCTGGGCATGGGGTTGCCCATGATGTGGCAGTGCAGTTGGGCGGAGGAGCCGGGAGCTAAGGTGTGGTTAGCCGGTCCCTGGCGGATGATGGGGGGGACCCGGTCTGAAGGGGCTGCAGGGGCGAGAACCAAGTCTGTTAGTTTGACACACAGATCCATAACTGAACTCCTCTGGTGTCATCAGAGAAACCAGACTCTCACAGAATAGTGGTGGTCAAAATAAAAATGCATCATGTATGTTCCACACTGTGTGATGGGAGTGCTGTCTGGACTAAAAAGTATATATATATATATATATATATATATATATATTTACTGTATATACACTAAGATACACAGTTCATTACCCAATTATAAAAAAGCCAATCATTTGATGATCGTTAAGGACTTTCCCTTTAAATGTATGTTGATACTTAGTTTTTGTCAATTAAATACGTCCCGCTTATATAAAAGGAATGTCCAAAACAGGCAGGGCACTCAGAGAGAAGACTTTGCAGACGTTAAAAGTTCTTTAGCTAATATTAGGAAGCTGCAAACTGTTGATAGAGATGTTGGCCTAAACTAAATCCACAACAACATTTTTCAATTACTGTCATTTTCCCTTAATTACATTTTCTTAAAGCCACATGTGCAATGAAGACATATTAATGCTAGCTGCACCATGCACTGGAACAGGATGTGTAATGCCCACTGAAGCACATCTCTATTGATGTGCAGATAGCATTGCTGCTGGTACAGCCACTAACAAATGGCCTATTCATAAAGGCCTGCTTTCACTTCTACGCCTGCAGCCTTCCCAGACATCACAAAGACACTCATGGACATATAAGGCTGCGTTCCATGTCTGTTTGACTGGAAGTCCAACTGTAAGTGTATACAGTGTGGTATGAATGAGTTATGCTTCATTTAGAACCATGCTCATTCAGAATGTGCATGGAGGTGAGGATGTTTGTAACTACAGGTTTTCTTTCCTCTCCTCCTAACAACAGAAGCCCTCTCCAGGCCATGACTGAGCAGAAATACACTTTACTTTCACTACTGTTTGACATTTGAGACATGGAGCAGACCCTCATCTGTATTCTGTGCTGCGTCCATGGGCTAACTGAAGCTAACTGAGAGTGTGAAACGTTAATACAGGAGATAGTGCAGATAGAGCCGAACAAAACCCCTTCACTCCCTGAGAGGGGGGCATGCAGGGGGGGCAGCATATGTTGAGGGGTTATTTGCATATTAGTTGTCCCTTTTGATCACATCACATGCAGTAAGGACTTCTGCTGTTTGCTAATTTAGGGTATAAGATTGTCATTAGAGATGGATTTGAAGGAAGGGTTTTTCAATCTATTTTGCTGCACACAAAAAACTTTGTTCATCAGGGGATGTTTTCAAACTTCTTCCTTTGGCTCAATAATCAATCATACATATTTAACTAGTCAAATGAGCTGCAGTAGCATATTATGCTAATTATGTAAATGGTTCTATTGATTCAAGTTTTGAATGCAATTGTCAATAATGTCCATCTTGATGTGTCATTTAGCTCAGTACTGTCTGTGTGAAATCAATGCAAACAGAGGACAGAAGACCCCCCCTCCCCCAGCCTCCACTCACCACTCTCCACCTCCAGCAGGGCTTTGGTCAGGATGCTGCCGGCCACGCTGATGGCCTGGCAGATGTAATATCCGGAGTCTTCCACCTGCACGTTGCTGAGGGTGAGCTCTCCGCTCAGAGACACGGAGAAACGCCCGGACTGAGACGGCTCCTGGATGGGGAACAGCAAGATCTGCAAGAGAACATTAACAAGATTAGTCTTCGTTTTTTGGGAAATTGACTTTGCAAATTGATATAAATGTGATGTATATTAAAGTATTGACCATTGACTTGTGTTTACTTGTGGCATTGTTTTCTTCCAAATAACATTAACGTACAGATATTACTTTTAGTGCTTTTGTCCAGTAAGCTGGTGCCAAGGTCACTCACACACACACACACACACACACACAACCACACACTCATACACACCTCATTTTCCCATCATCCACACAGGGTATTGATCACCAAACAGTGAGACTGCTTGACATTTCAGTCAAGAGCTTTAGTAATAATATATTTCTATCTTTGTTTATTGGTCTATTTAACTGGAATAGTTAGTCCTTGGACACATGTTTCAAAGTCACCCTAAATAATAATTATAATGTAAAAAAAATGAACAAGACAATAAAATGATGAAATCACTCAACAGAGGCAAATACAGGACATGCCATTTGAATACCAACGCACACAATCTTAATTGAGCGTGGCTCTCTTTAATGTTTAAGCATACAATACTTGTGTTAGCTTGTGTTTGGTTAGAAGACATTTGAAAATAAAGATGTGATGTGAATACAATGAGGATAGCTGGTAACACTGTTTGAATGCAGTGTCGAGAAGGTGAACTACGGCCTCGTTCAAATGGCAGACCTTGAAACGTTATCTCTGTATGCAAAATAATATGTGTGTCCTAAAACTCAGAAATCACTAGAATATGCACCCAACATAAATCAGATCAAGACGGGGAACAGTTACTAAGAGTGTAAAAATAAAAAGAATCAAGAAAGCAAATGATGTGTTATATTTGTACATCTACTGTACATCAAGCTTTATTCAGTGCAGTCACCAATAGTGTTTTGTTTCCATCTTCATCCCTGATCTTCTCTTCTTTTGCATGTGTCAAATAAACATGTCTTTACTGGGTTTTTCACTAAAATGCATGCAGCTAACATTCCATACATGCGGCCCACCTACTTCCTCTCCTCCTCTTCCTCCATGCTTCCTCCTCTTTATCTCTCTCCTCCACTCTTGTTCTCCCACACACATTCTGTAGGCTTCCAATCGCACCCCCCC